GACCGAACGACTGGCGGCGGCGGCTTGGCGACGGTCGCCATATGTAGTAACGGCGAGCGGCGGTCTGGCGGCTAGACTGTGCCGGCAGACAGGCGTGTAGTGCGGGTTGCCTATAGCGCCCAAACGTGCTCCTAAAGGCCGTCGCATATGCAGTGGTGTGCTAGAGGACCTGAATGCGTGAGCTTGTGAAATGTGGAAAATCATTGACCCAGGGCTGGGAAAAATGCTGAATCTGCTACATACCAGATATTACGAGAAACTCTTATTAGCTACATTGCCACAAATGTCCCTCACATCATTTCTGCTAAAGAAAATGATTTTACAAGTCAACAGAAATTCTGGACAGAACTTTCCACTACCATTTTCTATCTTTTCTCAAAGTGAGCTTTAAATGTTTTGATTTAGTTGGCTGCACGCACAAAAAAAAGATAGTGTCTTGCTTCTGCCCCCTGTGAATGTTCTTTTTCTTATTTCTTACTCTTTGTAGGAAGCATACAAATACCAAAATAAGTTGCTGTGGGGCTTTCTCAGGGCAAGTTCCAGCACCCCCCGGAGCACCAGGAAGCTCCAGTGAGCCCTAGAATTTTCCTATCAGCATCCCAGCACCTTAAGGATTCAGAAGGTATTAGCCTACTCAGGCAGAAAGTATTTGGAAGAAATCAGGTTGATTTGGCTAAGCAGTCTGGTCAACAATTTACAATCATTGTGCATGCCGAACCCGCTGTACAAATGTTGCCAGTTGTCACCTATCAAGGTTTAGAGGTAACATAATAATTGAACATTAAAGAAGTAAATAAAATATTCTTTTCTGGGCGTTACTTGATCAATATTTCAATCAGATCTCACCTTCTGCGCAAATCCGATCATATCTCCCTATATCTTCACATCTTGCTTTGCGTGCTGGGTGGCTACCTTGCTCTTTAACTGGGTACTGCACGCCGCTATACGGACAACTGTCATTACAGCACTTGAAATAAGGCCTGGAACATCCCACTTCCCTAAACTAGAGGCAAAATGAAAGATACACTTGCCGAAATAATGCAAAAACACCCAGAAACACTCATCAAAACCCATCAAACTAGCCACGAGAAACGACAACTAGAATCGTCTCTAATGCGCCAGAAACAACGCATCAACCACTGCATCAACCAAACACACAAACATAAATGATGTTTTTGTATATTTTTGTAAATGTTTCTTAATGTTACTTACAAAAGAAGGTTATTTGGTGCTTTAAAACTCTTATTCTTTTCAAATATGTATAATTCAAAGAAAAATTCACTTGAAACTGACAAAAAATATTGTATGACGTCATCAAAAAGAATTAAAGACGTTGCAGGATACTGCTTCATAAAAGATGGCTTTTTAGAGCTGTCATGGGCAAAATGAGTTGATTCTTTTCGTATTTTTATTGATCATTGAACAATTCCCTTTTTAAGACAATTTGTTTTGTTTCGTAAATATGTCGTTGGAATATTTCACAAATAATGAAATTCCTTTTTGCAATATTTATAAGAAAGATAGCACATAAAAAGGCGTAGCAGATACCTTTAGCTACACGACTCAGAGTATGAAGAATTAGTTATGGCTACACTGGAAACTGCTACAAAGAGCGGCCAGATTCGTCATAAAATGGAGCACAAAGCTGACGTTTTGAACTTGTGTTGGCTTTACAGATGTTTTGTTCATATTCGCCGACGAGATCACTGACCGGTGGTACCTCTTTTTCGAAAATGCGCGAATTTTGATGTTTTTATTGTATTTTTCTTTATGATCTACGGAAGAGAGAAATGCTGATTTTGCTACAAATGAAGGAACAATAAACCGATATCTGCTACCTACTGGGGTATGAAAGTATGGGGGATTTCCCAGCCCTGCATTGACCTGGGTTGCATGAGCATTGAGCCGAGTAAATGCGTATTGCAAACGAGCTACAGCCGTGAGCGGATATGAAAATCCGTGCCTGGTACGTATTAGAGTTGCAAAATTTCCCTACCGCACTACCGGCATGCCGGTAATTTTTCACTACCGCAGGTTTTTTCGTGGTATCTGGCATGTCTTGCCGGTAGCATGCCGGTATTTTTGATTTTGCACAAAAAAAAATTATCAGCATATGATTCAAACTTTGGACACTAAGAGGCTATTGAATTGTAATAACAGCAATCTTAGCCACTGCAAAATACATTTTGTGGTAGAAGTTCCATTGCTAAGGGTAGGGGTGACACATGAACCTCAGCATTTCACAGGTTTGGCTCTAATTAGAATTGTCAAGAATCTACTGTGGTCTATCAAAGGAAGACAAAGAATACTCATTCATGTTGCAAAAGCACAACCAATTAGTAAGTCTGATGGTAGGTAGGTAATAGGCATAATACAATAACTAAAATAGATAAATGTTCATGACAACATTCCCTAGGCAAAAGGCAGAATCAAAACAACACAAAACACATTGTTCAACTGGCCTTGAGTCCTGGGATGTGGTCTGAGATACTCTACAAAGAATTTGACACTGAAAATCCAGCTGAAAAGGCAGGTGTTAGGTAGCCCTGAGTCTAACTTTGGTCCCAAAATGAAATGAAAATGAATTAAACTGGCATTTTGTCTTATCTTTACAAGAAAACACAACATGCAGACCAAATGAATACAAAGTGGCGCAATGTGGCGCAAAGGCAACCAAGGATTGACTTTTAACCCGCGCCCTGATGGGGGGGGGGGGCATTTTGCCCCCCCCCCCTGTGGTTTTTCTTAAATAGCGAGAAAACGGCGGCGCGCAGCGCCGCCAAATTTTGGGTACCTTACCGGGCATCAATTTGACACCTTCACACAAAACTTCAAGTCACAGGTCACCTCAGGTCAGGAGTTATTGAGGTCAAACTGAGGTCATGTTCGAGCAAAAATGAGCAAAAAACATGACATCTTGAAACGCTCACCAATTCTATAGTTAACAAGCAATTTTAAAGTTCTTTATGTGGTTGTGTAGAGAAAAGACGGCGCTACAAAACTGCTATCTCGGATTTTCGAAATTTTGGGATTTTGACCCCCAAAAATCAAAAAAATTGATTTTTTTAGAAAAACTCAAAAAAATTCCAATTTTTTTTCGAATTTCGAAAAAACCGGAGTATATGCAATAGTCCCTACGCTCTTCGATATACATACCAAATTTTAGATCGATACCTCTTTTTTTGGCCAAGTTATAGCAAAAAAAACTGTTAAAAATTTATGACGTCAAATTTTTGAACTCAATTTTTAGCAATTCTAGACCTCGTAGCGCAAAACGGAGACCACCATTGAACTCCCCGTGACGAGCTGCATCGAATCGATACCCATTTTATGCAAAAATATCAACTTTGAAATTTGACCTAAGTTGACCTGACTTTTACCTGACCTTGACCTGACCTTGACCAAAACGTGACCTAAGCTGGCCCTAAAGTCTGTCTGACCCACATAATCGCATTTGTCATGTAAAATGGACCATAAAACATGTATCACACGACACTTTCATATTGTGACCCCCCAGTGACCTGACCTCTGTGACCTGACCTGGTATCAGTGACCTCAAATAGCAAAACATGTGTTTGAAGAACATTTCTCCACCGATGATTTTCAATGAAATGCATTTTACTCGATTTTACAACGCATTTCTTGAAATGCCTGAAAACGGTGAAAATTCGACCTTTGACCTGACCTGTGACGTCATCGGTTTGACCGAGGTCAATGAAATTGGGTCACAAGGTAGTTCCCCGTTGGGACTATCCAACACCGTTTACCGCTTGTCGCTATGTTGCGTGGTTCTCGAGATCTGAGGGGGGGGCCAAAATGGCCCCCCCCCCCATCAGACCACGTTGCTCGGCAGACCCCATCTGGGCGCGGGTTAAGATCCTCTGTCCCCTAATGAAAGGATGTAAGCTGATGACGTAATATTTATTCATATGCCCTTTTGGTTGAATCACTCAAGAGAAATCAATTTTCTTGTAGTGAATAACACTCACAGTGTTGATTTCATTGGAATTCAATATCGTGTTGGATGATTTTTATGAATAAAATCATTCACGAGGCAGAAGTTTGCAGTCCTAAAACCTTTTTTGCAGTGTTTTAATCAGCTGGTTAAAAACTGTGTTATGGCGCATCTGTTTCGAAATCCTTTATAACCATTTGTTTGTTCCCGCGTTTGAGATGGGGGAGGATATTATATCGTTTTTATACATATTATTTGGTGACTTCTCAGGACAAGTGAGTTATTAACACATATTTTTACATGATTCGTATCTTACTCACGAGCCAGCAAGCCATGGCGGATAGGATGACCTTGGCGGATAGGAAAAAGCTGATGTTGTTCTCGCTTCCTCAGTTCATGAGTCCATGAGTTTGAGTTAGGAATATGGCCGAATCTGTAGTTTTTTATATCAATATTGTGATTTGTGACTATCTATAGTTCATTATTTGGTTGGTACCTGCAATATTTTAGGAGAATGTGGAAAATAAGAACGCTTGTGGCAAATGTGATTGCTGCTCACTGTGCAATCTTCAGAAACACATTTCAGTAATTCAAGTTCTTTTTGTCCTTGCTTTTTTGATGAATGTGTTAATGCTTTTTGTAGGCAATACCTTTTTGATTACAGGATATAATTAAACAGCTGTAGACTAGAATGGAGTTTCAAAATTGTGGTATTTGTGGGGCGAACTCAGCCAACATCAGGCTGCTGGTAGTTTTGGTTGGACAATGGGTGGCTGCTGGGTGGGGCGGCTACTGAAATTGCCAAAATGTTGCATCTCATGTAGGGGTAAGCCAGAATCAAGAATGCAGGTTTTTTGGTATGCCGGTAATTTGGCGGTTTTTTTTGCTTGGGGCGTGGTAGCATGCCGGTATCCCAGAAAATTTTTGTGGGGCGGGGCGGTGCCGGTAGCAGCCCATTGGGAAAACTTTGCAACTCTAGTACGTATTTACTTGCTCATGTAGGCCAGGTAATTCAGGGGGGTTCATTCCCGTGTTAAAGGGGATATTCAAAAGTGGCAATAGGCCAACTGGCTCGCTGATTGGCTGTCAGCCTTGCCACGTCATACTATCCCCTGCTGCACATACCACTATAGAAGCCCGTGGTTACTTTTTGACCTCGTTTAAAAAATATCCTTGAGTTTGATGCAAACTTGAGGCTTTTTATGAAAGTTAGTTTTCGTTTTAAGTGACACATGTGCACGAAACTAAATATTTCACTCTAAGTTTTACAAATTTTGGGATGAACGATAACCGTACCCCTGGTGACGTCATTTGTCGTTTTCCTGATTTACACAGAAGACAGTCCCCCTAGAAAAGGCCTGAATGGCGCATGATACAATGTCGGCGCAAACTTGTTTAGCTTTTGTTGCGGGTTGTATGTTGTATTACCCACCGTGATATTGTGAAAATATATGAAGTTATTACGAAGTTCTTTTGAAAATTTACTAGGCTTCTGTGGCAGGCATTGTCAAATTGATCATCACCATAATATTGACATGTAAATGTCCTGCCATACCTTTCAATTTGGGCAAAACAGGTGAGTATCAGTACACCTACATTTGTTATGTTTATATCTTCAGAAAAATTCCATCCATATCAATCTGTACTGCGGTGTCTATTAGAAAGGGTGTTTATTTTGTTATATTCTCAAAGAAAATGTGCTTGCTGGTTATTCTGGATGGGTGTTCAAAACTAGATATAAAACTATTCTAATTTGGAGTTCACATTAGCATTTGTCAGCTAACTGTTTGTTCTTTTTTAATGAATATGTCAACAAAACAAATATAACTCATGCCAGTCCATTTAAATAGTTGGCTGGATAATTTTATACTTTCTTTGATGCTACAAAAATAAAGATACTGATGTTTTCCGAGCTTGGTGTGCTAAGCGACTTCTCCGCAGCCCTGGTTCCTGAGCCTGTCCTGGACTCCATGCATGAGTGCTTGTTGTAGTACAAAAATGAAATTGTTAATAACTTTGTTGCCTATGCTTTATAAGTTACCATACTGAAAAGTGAAAATAGTAATGCTACCTTGCATAAGGATCAGTGAACTTTCTTTGCACCAATTTACACTGCACATGTTTGCTCATAACTGGCTCATTTTTAATTGAAATCCATAGGAAGCTTGAACAGTGAAAAAAAATAACACAAAATCTTAACAAAATCTTTGGTAAATTGAGTGCGCAGCATGCACCATATCTATTTTACTCTGGTTTTGTCTTTCTTAGCCATGCAACAATGATTTAAACCTGAAAGTCTTGAAACATAAAAATGCCACTGTCAGTGCGGAGATCTGATTCTTCTCCTGCTTCTTTTGTTATAGATTTGAGTCACAGCTTACGTTTATTCTGCATTTGGAACTGTCGCCGCACTTTGTGTAGGCATTATTTCAACCTTTCACTCACATATTGCCCCATCCACTAAACAAGCCATCATATTCCCTCCAGGGGCGGATCCAGAAAAACTCCAGGGGGGGGGGGTCATGAATCGAAGTGGGGCCCCTACCTATACCCAAAATTAAAACTTAACGGATTTCGGCCACTTAATTTTGTGGGCCTATTTTTGTGGTGGGCCCTATTTTTATTTTTTTCCTGTTTTTTTTTTTAATTTTTCCCCTGCCCCTGGGCCCTGACAGAACTGTGGTGCCCCTGAAAGGCCTGAAGTGTCCCTGACAGGCACGTGGTGCCCCTGACGGGCCCAAGATGCCCCTGCGAGGCCGGTGGTGCCCCTGGCTGGCCTGTGGTGCCCCTGACAGACCTCTGGTGTCCCTGACAGGCCTGTGGTGCCCCTGAAAGGACTGTGGTGACCCTGGGCCCTGACAAGCCTGAGGTGCCCCTGACAGACTTATGGTGCCCCTGACAGCCCCGTGGTGCCCCTGCTAGGCCGCTGGTGCCCCTAGGCCCTGGCAGGACTGTGGTGCCCCTGACAAACCTGAAGTGCCTCTGATAAGCCCAAGGTGCCCCTGGGCCCTGCGAAGCCGGTGGTGCCCCTGTGAGGCCAGGGGTGCCCCTGGCCCCTGCGAGGCCGTTGGGTGCCCCTGGAGGGCCTGTGGTGCCCCCGTCAGGCCTGTGGTGCCCCTAGGAATTGATAGGCCGGTGGTAGCCCTGGCAGGCCTGTGGTGCCCCCGTGGGGCACCGCAAGGGCCCCAAGGGGGGGGGCATGACCCATATGACCCCCTTGGATCCGCCACTGATTCCTTCTGCCTTGTTTGTGATATATGTGCTCGTGTCCCTTTCAGATCCTGCATTTCCTACATATCCAAAAGAACCAGTACCCAGTCCGCGCAGCGTAGAAGACCTGACAGATACCGGTGTCCCGTTCGCGCAGCGCAGCGCAAAAGAACCGGCAGACGCCGATGTCCGGCCCGCGCTTCAAGAACTGACAGACGGCAGATGCGATGTCCCGATGTGCCACCGGGGCAGCGCAGTAAACCCGACGGACGCCGACGTCCAGTCCGCGCAGTGTAACGCATAAGAACTGACAGACGTCGGTGTCCCGTCCGCTCAGAGCAGTGCAGAGGACCCGACAGTCGCCAGTGTCCCACTCCCGTCCACGCATTGTAGCACAAAAGAGCGGCAAGGTGGCATGACAACAACCAGTCACCGCGTCTAAATCAAGCTTGGCATGAAAAGCGCATTTACGACTGCGTCTCGCGAGATATCATTCTGCAATCCGGCGCCAGTCTGGACAGATGAGTAGTGCGTACATCATTGTCATCGTTCGATTACTGCGTTTTTACATTTAAATAAATTATTTTTTCCGTCACGCTCGACCTTGTCTTAATGTTTTCAGTTCAATTTGTTGTATATGTTTCTTGTTACGTGTTGGGTGGCCTATTGGGTCTTGTGAAGAAACCGAGAAGTCCCTTTGGGCTATTGAAGTGATCTTCTTTTGGTCTTTGTATTAGACGTCTAGCTCAGTTGGCCGGCTAGTTATTGTTCTTCAGTGAAGAGCTTCGAGCTTATGGACACGGCGCTGAATTTTCAATAAGCGCGAGCTGAAGCGAATCGATATAGATTACTGACAGGATTGACTGCAGCTGGTGTTGGCAGTCGCAGCCAACTGTCATTAGGCTAGGTTTAGCCAGTTGTCAAGCCTCGTCTGAATGTGTGGGCATTTTGGCTTTCAAAGCTCTCAGGAGTCCGGATTTCTTTTCAATTGGGAAGTGCCCTCTCGACAAGCTACCCATGACATGTCAATTATCAATCCTTCACCCGTCCATTCAAAACATTTGAAAAAATCCTAATAAAAGCGTCATCAAGGAAAAAGAAGCACCACAAGGGGCAAAGAGCACTGCAGCTAAACTACAGACGCACCGCACATCGCTAGTAGTGCGACGGCGAGTCCATTTACCGAAAGTATCATAATGTCCGCCTGATTGTCCCAAATCCAAATGCATCATCGAAAAGACGAGACATTTTTCTTCGAAATATCTAAGAACCATTTTTCACTAAACCTATTACTTTTTCCAAAAATACGTTAAAAAGCCTGCCGCCCGCCCGGCGTAATGTATTTACGGCGGGCGCAAGGGGGCCGCTAGGGTCTTTGTGACGTCACAGTAGTTCCGCGCTCCGGCCGGTAGGTGGCGGGCCGATCGGGCCTATTGCCAGTTATGGAAACCGGAGTAGCCTACCTGGTTATATAGCCTTGAGGTAATTGAATATCTAATGCCTGTGTCTGCTGCATATGGAAGGAAGATTAACCCGCGCCCTGCTGGGGGGGGGGTGTTTGAACACTCCCCCTTGTGGTTTTTCGCGAATATCTCAAAAACGGCGGCGCGGAGCGACGCCGTTTTTGGTACACCTTATCATACATCAATTCTACACATGTTGTGAAAATTTCAGACCAAGCTCATTCAAGGTTAGGTCACCAGGTCACTTGAAGTGACCTCACCTCATAAAAAGTTTCAATGTCTGTCATAGCTACACTGAGTGACCGATCGCTTTGAAACTTTCAGCGATTGATGAGAGCAATAGCATGTACAAAATGTATATCTCAGAATTTTGATATCGATGACCTAAGGTCAGGTCAATTTTGCGACCTCCCCATTATAAGTCAATGGGAGAAAATTGAAATGCGCCTCCTTTGGACGAAAGACATTATAAACACTCCCAAACACTGAATTGCAAGTGGTTTAGACACACTGAACATGAAAATGGTGTCCGTGACCCCCTGTTTATGCCCTGAGGTCATCTTAGGTCACTAACAGTTTTTCGCAAATAACTTTTGATAGAGGCATGCTAGAGCGATGAAAACGCCTTATATGTGTTCAGCTCGACGATACGGATCGACTGATATGCAACATGACCTTTTCCGGTCAGGTCATGACCTTGACCTGAGGTCAAATTTTCAAGTTGACCTTTCAAGGTCAAGTTATATTTCATTCGATGCGTCTTGACGAGAGGAACACGATGCCGGTAAAAGTAAGCTCGTACATTGCTTGGGCCAAAAGTTATTGCAGAAAAACTGTTTCCGAGAAGATCGGCTATTTTTGCAGTTTTTGCCCCCTGCAGGCAAAACCGTTGACGTTAGGTCAAATCTGAGTGAGTTACTCAGAAAGGGCGTTAATAGGGCTATTGAATGCGCTTTTCCGCGGCGCTGTAGCTCTACTGGTTCCCGAGTTATGCGTTGGCTTCTTGGAAATTTTCGACATTCGACCTGGAAATCGGCGAAATTTTGCCTTCAATGACCTCTGGTGACCTGACCTTTGACCTGACCAAAAATTGACCAAAGTGATTTCCTCATTATTTTTGACGCTCTTTCGAACACCGCCTTCCGCGTATCGCTACGTGGCCCAGGAGCCGAGTTAGAAGGGGGGGGTGTTCAAACACCCCCCCCCCCCCAGCAGGGCGTGGAAATCCAGGACCCCCGCCGGGCGCGGGTTAACAGATCAGTGAAAAAACAGATCATCGAGTATCAGTGAAATGCTGTTAACCTGCGCCCGGCTGGGGGTCCTGGATTTCCACGCCCTGCTGGGGGGGGGGTGTTTGAACACCACCCCCCCCCCTTGTAACTCGGCTCCTGGGCCCAATCTTATAAACGTCGTGAAATGGATATGGCAGCACTCTAAGGCTGGATATATAGTACGCAATCTTATAAAACTCTGTAAAATCGAAAACACGGCACGCTCCCTACAGCATTGGTAGCCGCCGGTTTTGAGGATGCCCTAGCATGCTTTTAACCGTGAGCAGCTGTGCACATCTCAAAACACCGACAATCATCAGCTGTTTGCGGTTTCAGCGGCGTCCATTTCACGCCAGAATTTGTGGCGTACTTTGACGAGCTTCTCAGACAGTTTAATTCATTTAAGATAAATTCAATGTTTTAATGATATAAGTATGCAATATTTTACGTTATGATATTTTTAAGATTAAAACATCCTCCACATATTAACTCATGGTTTATTATAATGATGCTTATTATACAGACAACGATGAATTTCAAAATATGTATTTTCAGGAACTAAATGCACACTAAAACACATAAAAACGAGTGGTCATCGTTAAATGGATTTATTTTTCAAATTAAAAGGGGATTTTTAAGAGGATTTTAGCACCAGTAATAGAGTTGCAAAGTTTTCCCCAAAGGCTGCTACCGGCACCGCCCCGCCCCACAAAAATTTTCTGGGATACCGGCATGCTACCACGCCCCAAGCAAATAAACCGCCAAATTACCGGCATCCTAAAAAACCTGCATTCTTGATTCTAGCTTACCTCTACAAGAGATGCCACATTTGGCAGTTTCAGTACCTGTCCCACCCAGCAGCCATCCATTATCCAACCACAAATACCGCCAGGCTGATTTTGGCTGAGTTGGCCCCACAAATACCCAAAATTTTGAAACTCAATTCCAGTCTATAACTGTTAAAATATCACCTGTAATCAAAGAGGTAATGCCTACAAAAAAAACTAACACATTCATCAAAAAGGCGAGGACAAAAAGAACTTGAATTACTGAAATGTGTTATGTGTTTTTAAAGACTGGACAGTGAGCACTGAGCAGTAATCACATTTACATTTCACAGGTGTTCTACTTTTCCACATTCTCCTAAAATGTTGCAGGCACCAGCCAAATGTTTAAAATCTAGATGGTCAAAACATAAACAAGTACAGATTCGGCCATCTTCCTAACTGAGGAAGCGAGATCAACATCTACTGTTTCCTATCCACCATGGCTTGCTGGTTTATGAGTAAGATACGAATCATGTAAAAAAATGAGTTAATACCTAACTCACTGGTCCTGAGAACAGTCACCAAATAATTTGTATAAAAACGATATCCTCCATCCTCTCCAACCTCAAACGGGAACAAACACAAGGTCTCAGAGGGCCTGATTTGAAACAAATGCGCCATAATAGAGGCTTTTAACCAGCTGAATAAAACGCTGCAAAAAAAAATTACGACTGCAAGCCACTGCCTCGTGAATGATTATATTAATAAAAATTATCCAACACAATTATAATGAAATCAACAATGTGAGTGTAATTCACTACAAGAAAATTCATTTCTCTTCAGTTATTCAACCAAAAAAGGGTATATGAATAAATACCTATTACGTCATCAGATTGCATCCATTCATTAGGGGAGAGAGCATCTTAAAAGTAATTCCTTGGTTGTATTATTTTGTGCCACTTTGTGTCAATTTGCCTGCATGATGTGTTTTCTTGTAAAGATATGACAAAATGTCAGTTCAAATCCATTTTCATTTAATTATGGGACCAAAGTCAGGCTCAGGGCTACCTAACACCTGCCTTTTCAGCTGGATTTTCAGTGTCAAATTCTTTGTAGAGGTTCTCAGACCACATCTCATGATCTCAGGACTCAAGGCCAGTTTCCAAACAATGTGTTTTTTGGTGTTTTGATTCTGCCTTTTCCCCTAGGGAATGTTGTCATGAACATTTATTTATTTTTTGTGTTATACATATTACCTACCATTAGACTCCTACTAATTGATCGTGCTTTTGCAACATGAATGAGTACCATTACAATTATTCCTTTTATAGACCACAGTAGATTCTTGACAATTCTAATTATAACCAAGCCTGTGAAATGCTGAGGTCCATGTGTTACCCCTACCCTTAGCAATGGAACTTCTACCACAAAATGTATCTTGCAGTGTTTAATATTGCTGTTTTATTACAATTTGAGAGCCTCTTAGTGTCCAAAGTTTGAATCTTTTGCTGATATTTTTTTTTGCACAAAATCAAAAATACCGGCATGCTACCGGCAAGACATGCCAGATACCACGAAAAAACCTGCGGTAGTGAAAAATTACCGGCATGCCGGTAGTGCGGTAGGGAAATTTTGCAACTCTAACCAGTAACCATCATAGATTTTCGGCAGCCACTGCATTATAGAATCGGTATGGGTCTTTAGCCTATTCTCACGTCTCACGTATGACACAAATAACGGGCACTTCATGGCTTCTGATTAGATATTTAAATTAATGATGATATACCTTAGTTTGTCAAAAAATTGTTAATTCCTACTCACTAGTGATGTCAGTTACAGAAAATCGGAATACCGATACCAAACCAAATACCAACCAAAACCGTGGGAAAATACCGAAACCGAACCAACTTTGAAAGATGAGGGAAATACCAACTTTTTACCAATTTCTTAGCCTCTTATACATTAGTAAGGGTTCATAATACCAACAAAATATCAAACACATTAGGATTGAAATACCAAATACCAAGTTGGTATCGGTTTGGTATCGGTATACCAAAAAGTTGGTATCCGATTGACATCTCTACTACTCACTATTCGTATCTCCTCACTTTCTGTCTGGCACAGTTAAGGATCAATGTGTTGTTTCTCTTCCTGCATCTCGATCTGACTTCTGAGCCGAGTATTTTTCTTGATATGCTTTGATATGTAGACTGGGTTCTTCAATCTTTTGAGGAATTGCTTTTTAGCTTTATGTTAGGTAACAGGTACCTAAGGAAAAATAATAAGAAGGAAAATAAGCTGTAACTTGACCTAATTCAGTTCATGTACGTAGTCTTCGAATTTTAGTAGTTTATCTTCAAGAAGGAAAATGTCAAGAGCTTATGACAAGAAGGAAAATAAGCTATACCTATCTTGAATTGATCCAGTTAATGTACGTATCCTGATGCTCAAATTGTAGGAGCTTCATTGTCAACGGCATTACTTAAATTACTGAAACAGTAGCCGAGCTATAATTAAATGACTATTTAAATAATTCTTTAACAAATTTATTGCAATGCCTTAACAGCAAATAAATGCAAATGATAAGTAGAAGAAACACTTTATTCACTCGAATTTCTGAGCGCGAGAATGCCCTCGCTGAAATTTATTTGGTCGGCAACCCACTTTTCAGGAGAATTCTTCAAGCATGTTTGTGTTTTCCATAGTTTGCTATCACGTTTTCCATAAATAGCTTATTCATTACACATATGTGTGTCTCTAAAAGAAATAAATGCCCCATAAAAGTTAAAACACATAACTTTTGCTGTTCGCAAACAGTACGCATAATTTCCAATAGCAACGGCGACAAGACATTGACCAATCACGTTGCGTGTTTCCTGCTGGCGTTGATATGTACTGTGGGCAAAATGGCGTGAATAGAATTACCATACTATTCTCTTTATAAGATTGCGTGAATAGGGTGCCGTAAATAGAGTGGGGTGGAATGATAGTACGCCATTTGGTAGCACAACCTTTATAAGATTGGGCCCTGGGCCACATAGCGATACGCGAAAGGCGGCGTTCGAAAGAGCGTTAAAAATAATGACGAAATTACTTCAGTCAATTTTTTGATCAGGTCAAAGGTCAGGTCACCAGAGGTCATTGAAGGCAAAATTTCGCCGATTTCCAGGTCGAATGTCGACAAATTCCAAGAAGCCAACGCATAACTCGAAAACCAATAGAGCTACAGCGCCGCGGAAAAGCGCATTCGATAGCCCTATTAAAGCCCTTTCTGAGCAATTCCCTCAGATTTGACCTACGGTCAACGGTTTTGCCCACAGGGGGCAAAAACTGCAAAAATAGCCGATTTTTTCGAAAACAGTTTTTCTGCAATTACTTTTGACCCAAGCCTTGTAAGAGCTTACTTTTACCGGCATTGTGTTCCTCTCGTCAAGACGCATCGAATGAGCTATAAGTTGACCTTGAAAGGTCAACTTGAAAATTTGACCTCAGGTCAAGGTCATGACCTGACCGGAAAGGGTCATGTTGCATATCAGTCGATCCGTATCGTCGAGCTGAACACATCTAAGGCGTTTTCATCGCTCTAGCATGCCTCTATCAAAAGTTATTTGCGAAAAACTGTTAGATACCATTCGTGACCTAAGATGACCTCAGGACATAAACAAGGGTCACGGACACCATTTTCATGTGCAGTGTGTCTTAAACACTTGTAATTCGGTGTTTGGGAGTGTTTATAAAGTCTTTTGTCCAAAAGAGGCGCATTTCAATTTTCTCCCATTGACTTATAATGGGGAGGTCGCAAAATTGACCTGACCTTAGGTCATCGATATCAAGATTCTGAGATATACATTTTGTACATGCTATTGCTCTTAGCAATCGCAGAAAGTTTCAAATCGATCGGTCACTCGGTGTAGCTATGACAGACATTGAAACTTTTTATGAGGTGAGGTCACTTCAAGTGACCTGGTGATCTGACCTTGAATGACCTTGGTCTAAAATTTTTACAACATGTGTAGAATTGATGTATGATAAGGTGTACCAAAAACGGCGGCGCTCCGCGCTGCCGTTTTTGAGATATTCGCGAAGATCCACAAAGGGGGTGTTCAAACACCCCCCAGCAGGGCGCGGGTTTATTTTTCATTTTTTTTTTACGTTAGGTCAAATCTGAGAGAATTACTCAGATAGGATTTTAATAGGGTTATCGAATGCGCTTTTCCGTGCTATTGGTTCTCGAGTTTTTTTTCTCGGCGTTTCGGCGTTTCTTTGTGTGGTTTGCTGCGGTCGGGCGATTTTTTCGCCGTTTGCGTTGGCGTTTCGGGCGTGCGTTTTGCACGTTTTGCGGTGTTTACGTTTTGCGGCGGGCGGGCGTTTTGTGTTTTTTTTTGCGGCGTTTGTCTTTGGCGGCGGGCGGGCGGGCGGGCGATGCGGGCGGTTTTCTTTTTTGCGTCGTTTGCGGTGTTAAATTTGTTTGCGGTTGGCGGCCGCTTTTTTTTGTTTTTTTGCGTTGTTTGCTTTTGGCGGCGGTCTGGCGATTTTTAGGCGTTTTCGGTTGGCGGTTAGCGGGCGTGCAATGCGGGCGGTTTTATTGTTTTGCGGCGTTTTTGCGTTTTTTTTTATTTGCGTTTTGCGGCGGGCGGGCGTTTGTTTATTTTTTGCGACCTTTGCGTTGGCGTTTCGGGCGTGCGTTTTGCGCGTTTTGCGGTGTTTGCGTTTTGCGGCGGGCGGACGTTTTTCACAATTCAAAGTCCAAACCTTCGTATGAACTCGCTCGCTCGCTGCGCTCGCTCGCTTGTAATTACAATCCTACTACAGGCATAAGCGCGCTTACTGATCCATCCGATGAGACGAAAATAGAGTACACGTATCACATGATTTATATTACAGGCACACGGTGACTACTGCATAGTAGAACAGTAAGGGTCAAACACATATCCAGAACAGTAGCAGTTTGAAAAGGCTTACCGGGCTTGATGACACCAAGAAAAATATTGTGTCACTATTGTTTGAATGTTTGAATGTTGATCATTACTTGGTCCAGTTTTAATGTCGCATTACTAACGTCCAAAAAGCCGATTTGTCACTGTTGAAAATGTACAGGTCTCTATGTCCATCCCTGAGCCATCGATGCGTGACATTTGCCTCACTATTGTGTCTTTACACGCTACACCTAGTTAGCTCGCCAATAACTTAGTCAATAAATAGGGCAACAGGGCGAAGTAGCCCAAGGGAAAATAAAACCAGACGAATAATACACATAGCTAAAACACATAAGACAATGCTCATCGATTCACATCAAGTGAATTCACTGGACGGAAAAGCCTGATCACGAAATGACTCAGCATCTACCCAAAAAGGTCTAGAAAATCCCGTTCAGCAAGGACCCGCGAGAACCTATCCAGTCAGTTACTAAGCACAAGTAGACCCGTATATGTATTCAGGCTGTGAGGTCGTCACGTGCTCAGTCACATTGTGCGAGTCACAGGGCACGTGATCAAGCATTGTCTTCCCGCCCCCCCCCCCTAGTCGGTCGGTTGGTTGAGTTTTCTCACCCTCATTGTTCAAAAGCTGTCAAAAATTCTCACAGGAGAACTGAGTCGACGAACATAGCCACAAAACACTCAAAATCGCCGCCAAATAGACTAGATTCACCGCACTGCCATCTGCCGACCAACTGCAACACTAGAACTGTCGCAATCTGCCACTTGGCGGCGCCACTGGACACCGACAACACTCCTCCAGATATTCATCCGCCAGGCTCCAGACATCTTGCCCCTGTGTTGTCTTTTAGTGTTGCGATGACACCCAAAACCATTGGTGCAACGTTTGACACGTGCGCCACGTGCACCACCACGTGTGCCATTACCGGCACGTATATTTGTACGACTTTTGCGTGCACGTGTCGCACGTGACCTGACAACACCAGTGGAATTTGCAGTTACACGATGTCTTGACCTCTGTAACCTGGCGTTTGACTCTGCGGCCACAGCGTCGACAGAGGTTTTTACAGGAGCGTCGTTCGGCGTGGGTAACCCCCGGACCGGTGGCACGCGAACACTCCCGCCCGCGCGTGCCAATGTCGCCTGAAAATGAAAAAAAATCGTAATCGTAATCGTACGTATTTGACGGCTTCTGGGCTTCCACATGGTGATAACAGCCCATTCGGAGTTGCAGTTGGGGCGGAGAGAGTGGGGTGCATTGGGACGGATGGGAGTATGGGGACGATAGGGGTCCTGGCCAGTGCCTTTGTTTGCCGTTTGTTTTTGTTTTTTGGGCTGTTGGCTTTTTTCTTTTCTTTCCTTTTCTCGTTTGATCTTTTTCTTTGTTCCTTTTCTTTTCTTTTTATTGTTGTTTTTTTTGTAATATCTCTTTTTTCTTTCTTTTTTCTTTTTGCTTTTTTGCCTCTTTTTTCCTCGGCAAGCTGACCAGGATTACAAAAAAAGCTTATGCATTTATTTGTTTTCCTTCAAACGGCATGGTGCCAAGTTACGGTAAAAATCCTGCTTATCGGCACCGGGATTCGAACCCGCAACCCCCGTCCCGGAATGACGCTCCTACCAACTACGTCCCCAGGGCCACCCTCAAAGACTTAGGGAATAATAACAGATGGATCTAGACTATCTTTTTTAGAAAGGAGATGTTGTGTATAAGCAAGCTCCATTGCATGTTCTTGGCTTTCCTATTATCAAATGATTCTGGAGGGTGGAACTGAAACCAGGGCCCAATCTTACCAATGCCGTGAATAGGCAAAATGCCGTGAATGGAGCCCATTCACGGCAACGGCATATTACCAATGCCGTGGATAGCTATTCACGCCATCTCATTCACGGCATGCGGTCGATGTTTATCCACGGCATTTTGGCAGTGCTTTAACATGGGCAGTGGCACAAGCTGCCGCGAGAGCGGCAGAACAAACGCAAATTATCAGCTGTTTGCGCTGTCGGTGGCCGTTCCATTCACGCCACCTTTTAGTGCCGTGAATGGCGGGTGTTGTGAAAGGGATAGGTCGCTGGGAGGATGTTACTATGCAATATTTGACACTATTATTTTTTTTAAAGTAAAGAATTCTTCATATAATGCCCTTGACATCTTAGAGCGACGATTACACGCATAGCGATTATTTCAAAAACATGTATTTTCCAGGGATAAAATCACAGTCAAATCCATAAAAATAAACATGTTTATGCATTATATGGTCTTATTTTTCAAATCCATACGAGATCGTGGAGGCGATATTAGCATCTGGGCCCAATCATACCAATGCCAAACCTATCAATATATGCTATAATATGGGTGTTTCAGTGTTCACCCCGTCCGGACGTCTCACAAACATCCTTCATGATTTCTAAGTAAATATTTAAAACAATTAAATACCGTAAACTTGTCAAACAAGTATCAGCACTCACAATGCATATTTTACCACTTTCTGTCTGGCACAGACAGCTACAGAGCATGCTGTCTTCATGCGTCTCAATTTGACTTCTGAACTGAATGCTTTTTTCTTGACATGTTATGGTTTTGAGATGTAGACGGGTTTCTTCAATATTTTGAGTAATTCCTTTTGTTATCGTGCTCGTAAAAAGCAGCAAATAAGGCTATAGCTTGAGCTGGCCGGGTGCATGTACCCAAAGTTTTAACTTTACGAGCTGCATTTCAATTGCATTATTCCAATGTCTTAGAAACAACAGCGGAGCTATCACTAGGTCGTTACTTCAATAATTTTATCTCAAAATTGTTGCATTATCCTAACAGCAAGTAAATAGAAATGATGAGCAGCGAAACGAAGTTGAAATCTACTCCACTCGATTTTCTCAGCGCGAGAATGTCCTCGCGGAATTTTACTAGGCCAGTAATCCGCTTTTCAGGAGAATTCTTTAGGCAGGCTTTAGTTTTTCATAGTTTGCTATCACGTTTTCCACAAATAACTTATCCTTCACACATATGTATGGCTCTAAAACAAATAAATGCCCGACAAAACTTTAAATAGAGAGCTATACCTGTTCACAAGCAATACGCACAATTTCCAACAGCGAAGGTGACAAGAATTGACCAATCACATTGCTTGTTTTCTGCTGGCGCTGAATTGTACCGTGGGCAAAATGCCGTGAATAGAAATGCCGTGGCACGGCATTGGTGAGATTGGGTAAATGGAGTGCCGTGGATCGGCCGCCGTGGTAGGCATCCACGGCATCTGCATCCACGGCATTGGTAAGATTGGGCCCAGGGCCCAATCTTACCAATGCCGTGGATGCAGAGGCCGTGGATGCCAACCACGGCGGCTGATCCACGGCACTCCATTTACCCAATCTTACCAATGCCGTACCACGGCATTTCTATTCACCGCATTTTGCCCAAGGTACAATTCAGCGCCAGCAGAAAACACGCAATGTGATTGGTCAATTCTTGTCACCTTTGCTGTTGGAAATTGTGCGTATTGCTTGTGAACAGGTATAGCTCTCTATTTAAAGTTTTGTCGGGCGTTTATTTGTTTTAGAGACATATATATGTGTGAAGGATAAGTTATTTGTGGAAAACGTGATAGCAAACTATGAAAAACTAAAGCCTGCCTAAAGAATTCTCCTGAAAAGCGGATTACTGGCCTAATAAACTTCCGCGAGGACATTCTTGCGCTGAGAAAATCGAGTGGATTAGTTTTCAACTTCGTGTCGCTACTCATCATTTCTATTTACTTACAGTTAAGATATTGCAACAATTTTTAGATAAAATTATTGAAGTAACGACCTAGTGATAGCTCCGCTGCTGTTTTTAAGTCATTGGAATAATGCAATTGAAATGCAGCTTGTGAAGTTTAAACTTTGGGTTCATGCACCGGGCCAGCTCAAGCTATAGCCTTATTTTTCTGCTTTTACAAGCATGATAACAAAAGGAATTCCTCAAAATATTGAAGAAACTCTTCTACATCTCAAAACCATATCAAGAAAAAGGCTTCCAGTTCAGAAGTCAGATTGAGACGCATGAAGACAGCATGCTTCGTAGCTGTCTGTGCCAGACAGAAAGTGGTAAAATATGCATTGTGAGTGCTGATATAATTGTTTAACAAGTTTACGGTATTTAATTGTTTTAAATATTTACTTAGAAATCATGAAGTATGTTTGTGAGACGTCCGGACGGGGTGAACACTGAAACACCCATATTATAGCATATAGATAGGTTTGGCATTGGTAAGATTGGGCCCAGGTGCTAAAATCGCCTCCACGATCTCGTATGGATTTGAAAAATAAGACCATATAATGAATAAACATGTTTATTTTTATGGATTTGAGTGTGATTTTATCCCTGGAAAATACATGTTTTTGAAATAATCACTATGCGTGTAATCGTCGCTCTAAGATGTCAAGGGCATTATATGAAGAATTCTTTACTTAAAAAATAATAAAAGTGTCAAATATTGCATAGTAACATCCTCCCAGCGACCTATCCCTTTCACAACACCCGCCATTCACGGCACTAAAAGGTGGCGTGAATGGAACGGCCACCGACAGCGCAAACAGCTGATTATTTGCGTTTGTTCTGCCGCTCTCGCGGCAGCTTGTGCCACTGCCCATGTTAAAGCACTGCCAAAATGCCGTGGATAAACATCGACCGCATGCCGTGAATGAGATGGCGTGAATAGCTATCCACGGCATTGGTAATATGCCGTTGCCGTGAATGGGCTCCATTCACGGCATTTTGCCTATTCACGGCATTGGTAAGATTGGGCCCAGATTCCAAATGGATAATACGCTCAAATTGTGTCTTACTATGCTGTCCCAGCTAGATGCTGATTAAAATTTGTGTGCGTACACAGTCAAGGAAAATCTTAGAAAGCAGTGCTAGCACTGAGCTGATGAGGAATGAAATGCGAGTTACGCCAACGAAGACAGTTTGGTAGCACATCGAGCATGAGTTGAGCACCCACTTAACAAATTTAGGCCATCATCGGGGTAACGTGCTGGGCATGTCGGGGGACATTGGGACGATCAGCTGTGTAGCATCAGGACACAAAGATGACGCTAAGCTTAGGGAACATTTAGACCACCCGCTCCCCAGAACAGCATTTACAGGGTGGGGCAGAAAGATTTACCTGTTTGAGTTCAGTCCATAACTCAAAAAGTTATGAACGAATTTTGATAAAATTTTGCATGCAGCTTCCCAACTGACTCATGTATCAACATTAAGATCGTTTTTTGCATTTTGTAATATTTTTTGGTGAGCTATGGGGAAAATGACTAAGAGAGCCCAAATTGCGGCACTGAAGTAGGTTGGCCATAGCTCCTGAGACGTTGCCAAACAGCTCGGTGTTGCCATAAAACTGTTTGCAGTGTAATTAAATGACTAAAAAAGAAAGGGTTAGTGTCGACGAATTCCATGCCAGGCAGAACAAGGGATATCTGCCTCAAAAAGCTGGTTAATATCGTGCGCAAGAAGGTGTTTCAAGTTCTAGGCGAAGCATGCACAAACTGCCAAGGGAACTCGGTGTTTCGCCCAGAACCGCCAGGAGAATCATAAACGACGGCTTGAGCTTCATGTCATACAGGGTGCAACATCGGCACCTAATTTCGGCGGCATCCAGGGCAAAGCGGCTACACAGGACCCAAAAGTCATTGGAGGAGATCAGGAGCGCCGGTAACAAGACATTCTTCTGATCCAATGACAACATTTTCATGCTTGAGCCCCAGAGACACTCCCAAAGCGTCAGAATTTTGACAGATGGTCCATCCAGCATTAATTCTGCTATTCGCACCATTTTTCGTCGCCAGAAGCCTGCTGGTGTCTTGGTTTGGGCTGCCGTCGCATCCGACGGCTCAAAAGGAACCTTGGCCTTCATCAAGGAGGCTGTGAAAGTTAATTTACAGGTTTAAGTCCATCTGCTGGAGGAACATAATTTGTCTTGGGTCACTCAGTCGTTCCGAGACGGATACGTCTTCGTCCAGGACGGTGCGCCGCCGCAAACGGCCAACATCGCTCAATCGTGATGGAAGACCCACATGCCTGGGTTCTGGGACAAAGACATTCGGCCATCATCAAGTCCAGACCTGAACCCGATGGACTTCGCAATCTGGACCATCTTGGAGAGGAGGGT